TCCCAAATGCTGAAGCCACTATGAGCAGGGTCGGAAAACCCCGGGGTTTTTGTAGAAAAACCCAACCCCGTAGGTTTTTCCGGGGTTTTTGGGGTTTTTGTGGGTTTTTGGGTTTTTGTGGGTTTTTGTGGGTTTTTGTAGATTTTGGGGCAGGTTGAACCAGAATTCCTAAAATTATTTATTAGAGAAAAACTAATTTAATATACGATTTTAACATGCAATTTTAACCGTTATCATTGATTTGGACTATTACATCGAAAATTCATGTTTGAGATGTAAACCTGGAAATATGCAATGATACTTGGAAATTCAAGTCGCAAATGAAAATTCTCAAAATTTCAAGATGAGGCAGAAAAGTTAATTAGCATTGATCTACGTTGTAGTTTAAGGGATTTTGTTTCAATCTGCCTCAAAATCTTACAAAAACCCCGGAAAAACCCACAAAAACCCGCAAAAACCCACAAAAACCCGCAAAAACCCGCAAAAACCCCATTAAGCATTAGGGTTTTTCCGGAGATTTGATACCCCAAAAACCCACAAAAACCCCAAAAACCCCAACCCACAAAAACCGGGGTAGCGAACCCTGACTATGAGAGCTTCTTACATCGCAGGGTTGGGTAGCCTGGGTCAAATCCTTCCCCTTCTCCGCACAATGGCCTGGTCGGAAACAATAATCGCTAGTGGCAAGGGTCTGGTCATTCGGATGAAGGAGACGGGCGACATATACAGTCGTGGAGGACTGGAGCTTGTATACACGCTGTACACATAGGCAAATGTTGTTTCTGATTCCGCCCGCAAGAGATCCCCGCTAGTCTCAAGCTATTTGGGAAACTTAAAGCGTGTACCCTCCAAAACGTTGATAAGGGGCACGAATTCCTAACCGCCATTCAGAAATACGACACTCGGGGGAGAGAAGGCTGGTCGTCACCTACCCAAACAGCTGGCCCACAGGAGATAATGCTAAGTAGGTCATTAAGTCAGACGACTGGGGGAAGACGTTCGCACTTTTTGACTATCGTTATCAGGAATATCTCTATGCAGCGAGCAACCCCTACAGGTATGACAAGCACAGAAGGAGCGTGTACACTTGGGTGCCTGGCCACCCTGTGACGCAAGGCTACTGGGAAATAGCTCCGGAAAGTCAAGGGTATTTTAAGTTAAAGAACACCGTGCATGGGGAGAAATTGTACGCTGCTATTGACGGATTCAGATACTACACAAAATTGGAGACGTGTATTCACATGGGGGGTAACATCAGAAAACCATGATGATGAATATTGGACCATAAAGTGTTAGGCTATTCAGACCCTGGGTTTTAATAAGTTGGGCGTTTTACACGCCAAATAAATTTGATCAAAATTTCTCTAACTCTGAAATTATTTTACTCGACCATTGACAACAAAATGAGATGACGCAACTTTTTTGGTCCATATCTCATTCCTGGATTGAACAATATAATCTATCAGTTCTAGAATTTATTTCAATTGCCTAGTAAAATGTAAATGTGTATGTATGGGTCGGCTTAATGGTATTCATAAGTCTTGTAAATTTTGCTGCATTATTTAACAAATTGAACTGAGTCATTGAATAAATATTGCTCAAATTGTGCTTAGTAAATATAGTGCAATATTATTAAATACTTTACACTTTTTATTCTAAAAAATTGTCTTATTCAACTAACGTAAACTTAAATATTCCAAATATTGACTTAATCCATTTCGGGTTAGAAAAATCACAAGAATTAGAAAATTATGGATTTCCCCATTAGTTCTGGTTCTGGGACAGTTTTAAATTAAATTAATTGGATTAGGAAACACACAAATATTTCAATTCCCTCTACACTCTCAGCAACTTGGTAACAAAAGCCAGAATTTCGTTACCATCAACGATCGGTGGCAACGTAAATTCACAAGAATCACGCTGAGAAAACAAATGTGGTAACAGCCTAGCGGTAACAGCGATATACATACATATCTGCAATGGTGAGAAAGATTGAAAACACGGTGAAGAATTGACAATGTGCGATATTACTGGACTTTGTCAGGTTTTTTCTGCATTACCCAAAAACAGAGGGCTATATTGATAGTACCTCCGCGGGTAACGATTTGTCTCCAAATTATACTGAGGGTATTTCTATGTTATAGTCCGAGTCACTAACCTTAATTTTCTGGGCGAAATATGCGACGCCAAATATTGATGACAAATATTTCGCAATGAAAGTGAAAGTAAAGAAAGTCAAGTTTTGAATATTTATATGCAAATTAAATTAAATTAAAGAAAAATAAAATATATTAGGTCCCATTAATCACTTCCGTTGCGGAACATTTTCTTCCACTTTCGTTGCCGGCAGACATTTCCAGCTTATAATATAGATTCCAGCGTAATAATGAATACAATAAGATCAGTACACCCGCAAAGAAACAATACCAATGATTCGTTTTAATCGCACAAGCAGGCCCGTCATCATGTTTAATTCAAATGGTCCTTGCTGTGCCATGAGGATTGTATTTTTCACAAATACATTATTAAAGGAATATTTGACTAACAAGGCGATGGTGTGAAGTGTAATCCTCCGATTTGGTTAAAATTTGGAAAGGATGTTGTCCATTTCAATACAACCAACGTTTCCGGGGGTAGTTTGTGTGACGGTCAGAATTCGGAAACGTATCTGAGGTCAAAGTTAAAAAATGTGTAATTTTTAGCAGGGAGTATGGAAGTTGAGTTTGCGTCCTCGTCCTGGTAAAAATCGTAGGTTTTCACACTTTAACCTCAAATATTTTGACAAATTCTGACCGTCGCACAAACTACCCCCAGCAACGTTGGTGGCATTGAAATATTTAATTTCAAAATTTCAACCAAATCGGAGAGTCACACTTCACACCATCGCATTGTAAGTTAAAACCACGTCAATTAGCCTGCAAGAAAATATTGATCCTTTGGAGAACAATATATACCTAAATAGTTCATCGCATTCTCCCTTTTTGGAGAAGACTGAGCAGTTCGTAACAGCTTTATTATTGATGGATTGTTCGGAATTCGGATACAGCTCTTACAAAAATATTTATTTCAGTCTAATTTGAAACTCGATTTGTTCCGGAGTTCGACATTCATGCCAGAAAACCAACTTTCCTCAACGACTTTGTTCTGGAGGCCGAGGAAAATGGTGAGCAAATGGGAAAAGTGGTCTCGTATGCAAAAATAAGACCCCAATCTAAACAAAAATATTACAACCACGTCTATCACGATAAAATAGTAAATACGTAATCAATTTACGCTAGGAAATTTGAAGGCTTCGTCAATTTAGATGCCTCGTTGTTGTACAACGAGGTTTATCAATTAAACACAGTCGGAGGACATGTAGTCATCTAAATTTATGAAGCCTCCCGAAATTTCGAATACTTTCTAAAATGTCGCATATAAAGGGTGAACCATCTTCATTTACTTATTTGGCTGGGCAAATTTCTTATAAATATTCTATTTGCATAGGAAGGCATGATATTTATAACCCAAACGATGATGAGGCGTCAGAGTAATAAACTTCTACAGTGACAATTACTGATTGCGAAACGATCGACAACCTGCAGAATTCCATATTAGTCGTAAACTTTGCCCTGCGTTAATTTGGTTTCTCCGCAGTTGTGATGCGGAGATTTTTCGAACAATAGAAATTTTCTCAGTTGGACAGGCAGGTATGTAAGAAGTTTGTATTACATGTAAGTTTCGTACCTGTCGAGATAACTACACTCAAAATAACCTGGTGTTAATCCAGTGCGGTGTAGTCACATATAGACACCACGCGGTGTTAATGCGGGCAATTAACACCGCGCGGTGTCTATATGTGACTTCACCGCACTGGATTGACACCAGATTATTTTGAGTGTACGGGGTTTACGCTTCGCAAAAAAATTCCATTTTCTGGAAGCAGATTTTCCGAACTATGCACTATTGGGAAACTAGCGTTTAAATTCTGATGCTACATTACTATTGTACAGATCGGTACATCAAATTCTCAAATATCACATACATACGTGTACAAGTTAAACTTATTTATAATTTAAACGTTCAAAATAATATCATTCAATTACAGCGTTAGACCTTAATCAAACCTACACAATTTAATTTTCTCCTACCAAAATGAATTTTCGTTGAATAATTGTGCAACCAAACTTATTTCGGTACAAATTTCGCAACCTAAAATCCTAAAGGCTTAGTTATACTCCTTAAGTTATTTATATAATATAATAAGGGGTGATCCATAAATTATGTCACGCAAAAAACCCTTTTTTAGGACCCCCCACCCCTGTTGTCACGCCTTTGTCACGCTCGTCGTGACCCCTCCCCCCCTCTTGTCACGTCACGCCTGAAAATGTTAATTTTTCCTATACCAGGAATAAGATACATATATATGTACATATCTTCTATAAACGAGGTGCGGCTAGTAAATAGGGGGTAATTAGTACTACCCTCAAAACTGAGAGAGGAGTCTTATGTACTAAGTCACCAGGATTTTGCATAAATTAAATTTATTTGGCCGATAATTCATGAAGCCTTTGTCAAAGAAGATGTAGTACAAATTGCGGTTGAAACGAAATATTTCGCGTTAACTGATTGAAACCCGTGTAATTTTACAGGATAGCAACAAGTAAATATTAGCTCTATTTATACTCATATCACACCCGTGATAGAGCTGAAAAGTCATAGCGTGATAGATTTGTGGATAACATTTCCAAGAAAGTAAACCTTTCGGCAGTCGACCCCCCCGCCCTTGAAAATGTATACCACAACCTCCAAAAACATGGTCCTTCCTTCCTGGACAACGGGCTTATCGACCTACCATACCATCCTTCAGCAGGCAACTCAATTTATACATAATATGGGTCACATTATACTTCACAAAATTTGCATTCCGGACAGAAAACTTTATTATGATATACAGTTTAAACTTTGTTATCAATAACATTTAGATCCACAATAGTACTCAATCTCAAGATATCAATAATCTATGGATCAACATTTATGTCGATCAGGAGTAACCCATATGATGCACAGCCTTGACAGCGGAATCTATTTAAGGCAGTGGTAAGTATATTATTAAAATTTGCGCTATTTATGTAGATACAAATTATTTTGGTCAATTTGCCTACCGTATAAACTGGTGAGCAATCCTTTATGATGACTCTCTAAGGGAGAGGATAAAGATCAATATATATATTTATAAAAATGCGGGAATCTTCTCATTAAGGAGTGTATAGTATTAAGACGGGCTTTAAGCCTAGTTATTAATTTTTGTGAAAATTTCCGTAGTTATAAAAGCCGGAATTTTTACTTGATTTTAAATACTTTTTAAACATTTATAAAGTACCTGGTTCTATCGTGTGGGTATATTGGATGACATGGGCAGCCTTTTGTGCATCTTGCAACCTTTGGAGAAGTTCGGGCAGTGGGGGTGGCTGTTTTTCGGGAACCGGGGTTTCCGTTTCGTTCGCTGGTGGTGCTTCTTCTTCTTGCCGTTTCGTTTTAAAATCGGGTTCTCCCGCTTCGTTCAAGGTTGCCGGGTCCAATCCGATTTCTGCAGAAGGTCGAGGATAGGCATCTGATGTGATAAAAAATTAGCGGAGTTCAGTTAGTGTTAAATATGAAATTTTTATACTTTTGGCTTATCGAGGGGATTATACAAAAGTAAATAAAAAAAATTACCGATTTGGAAACTGGTTATGATTAAACTTGCGGCAATTAGTAATTGCTTGTTCGGCGGCATGATTGATTTTTGATTGTTTGGCACGGGAGCTACCTACCAGATGGTTGTGACTGATTTGGAGCAATAGTGGAGCTGAGGAAAGAGTAGGTAAGGGGGTCACTTCCTCCTAGAATTGTTTTGAAATACACAATTCACTCATTGTGATGGAGACAACAATAGGAAATGATAATTAATTAGTGTACAAATAAATGTTGCATATCAATTACTGTTATGCGTAGGTACATATGTACATACAACGAATCCCAATGATTTTGGGTGAAAACGTGTATGAAGAAATTATTTTATGTTCGAGAATACTATGAAAATTTCTGTTTCCCTGTTTTTAGGTGATATGTATTACGGATTATGCACACTCTAAATAAATTTGATGAAAATCTGTCGAAGTTAAGCAATTTACCCCTATGAAAGTTAAATTCATCAAACGCTGTAGAATTTTCGCTCTACATTGTGCAAATTTTATTTTATTCGGAAAATTTTCACACAAGTTGTGTCATTGGAAATTTTACTCAACTTTATTTAGAGTGCACTTGATTCCAACAAACTCAACAATTTACTCTTAATTTAATTTACTCAATAACACTCTTTCTATGGGTAAGCTGTAGTAATTTATTCCTTAACCAAAAAAAAGCTATATGACGGTGTCAATACCAAACCTTGAAGCCTTGGCGGCTGGATTTTTGATTTTTGAATTTCCATCAAAAATAGGTCACAGACCAAGAAATTGGTGTAATAGAAGAAAAATTTTGAAAAAAGTTGCCCCCAACCTTCCGCTATGGCCATTATTATGAGTTTGGGCAGGGTTCGTAGTACGGCGATTTTTTCGTCAGTTTTTGAGCTAGGGAGCTGAAATTTCAGATTATACACCATTTTGAGTGTCCCGAGGCGGGACTTTTTCGTCTTAAGGGCTAATGTCTAAAATGACCTTAAAACCGGGCACTTTTCAACATGCAAGTTGTCTCATGGTTTAATATATATGATGTCAAGTCTCACATAGCCCCATAAATGGGGTATCGTGAGAAAGGTCTCGGCAGGTGGATTCAGAATATATATGCTTTGTGGGGTCTGGGACCACCCACTGATTAGTTAGAGACCAATGAGTAATTTTGAGTTTTCCTTAATACGTGCTATGTTGGCTCTCAATCTGCTCGTGTGTTAAATTTTGTATGCCAAAACTCTCAACATTTCTTGATTTCTAGAAAATCAGGGGGGGGTCCCAGACCCCACAAAGTATATATATTCTGAATCCACCTGCCGAGACCTTTCTCACGATACCCCATTTATGGGGCTATGTGAGACTTGACATCATATATATCAAACCATGGGAAAATGTGCAAGTCGAAAAGTGACCGGTTTTAAGGTCATTTTCGACATTGGATCTTAAAACGAAAAAGTCCCGCCTGGGGATACTCAAGACGGTGTAGAGTACGAAATTTCAGCTTTCTAGCCCAAAAAGTGACGAAAAAATCGCCGTACTACAAACCCTATTCCAGATTACAAAAACGGCCATTACAAAGGACTGAAGCAACTTTTTTTCAAAATTTTTCTTCGATTACACTAATTTCATGGTCTCTGATCTATTTTGGATGGAAATTCAAAAATCAAAAATCCAGCTGCCAAGGCTTCAAGGTTTGGTATGGACACCGTCTATATAGATTTTGCTTACAAGTGTTATGAAATGTTACAAGTGAATGTTATGAAATGTTACAAGTATTATGACACAAATAACAAAAGTGTCACCAATTTCTTCACTTAGAGACAGATTTCATCAATAAAATCTGGAATATAAAATTCAATTAGACAATTGAATACCTTCATTATGCAATATTAAATCTTCTTTTACGGTATACCTTTATTTGTTTCATATTTATTACATGTATTGCCAGTCCCGGATCTAAAGACCGGAGTTTTGCCTCGCGCCAATCATGTGCCCATTTGATTAACATTGGAGACGGATTGAGACGATGGTTGGCGCGAGTCATTAGATAAGAGACGCACAATAATATGTATTTATGTATACTACATTGTTATTTACAATAATAGAAGAGAAACAGTATTATTCAAAACTATCATACCAAACATTAATTCATTACTTTTCTTCGCTCGAAAGAAAGTGTGGCCACCAAATCCGACCGGAATCGCTATAGGTCTCATAGCTCGGACAACCTTAAAATGAATCCTTCTTTCCCTTACCGTCCTAATTTTCCTGATCACCCTAAGCTTAACAAGGACACTGAGACTGTATTTAGTCTCACTGTGCACCATAGTAAGTACACCCCAGCCAACTATGGTCATACCTGCCATGCCGACGTAGGCTGCCCAACTCCCCATAATCGTAACTACTGACAGTTGATGGCTCAATCTGATTAATACATAACTTCCACAACACATACCTACATTTAAACAAAGTACGAAGAAACACATCCCATTTCTAACTAAGGGTTCCGCCATATTGTGACTGATCTGACCGCATTTAAACCATCCCGTCAACACGTTTAGGTCGTACAGTTTCACGATCCGTGTGAGAAATAAGGGCCAAATTTTCAGTAATGTTTGTCCACACTGAGAAATATAGATCAGACCGGAACACAAGAAGCAAGTCATTAGTGCGTTGTGGTATGTGCCAATTAAGGTTGTTACATAGCACATTATGGTTATTGAATAGCTGGAGAAATACCCTGTTGTGTGTTGAGAAAGTAGATACTGAAGAATGTAGGAAGGTGGATCCAACTCAACGTAAACCATAATTAGCACTAAAAAAGGGATACCAGCATATGCCATCGAGGCAAATAATGAAGTCATAAGCGATAGGAAACCCAAATTATGGCTTTTTAGTAGTTTGTGGACATCATATCCTGAGTGTAATTTGAATTCTGTAAATTAAAAATAATTCGGTAAATTTAATTAAAAGTTAGTCAGAAAGAAATCTTCAAAAAGAAATATTTTTGTTGTTCGTTCTTAGTAGATTATTATATAAGTTTTGTTGAACAGATATGGGTCGAAAATGAACTTCAAAAGTATAAATTAGGAAAACCACATATGTAGCTTACATTATTCCTCAAATGATAAACAATTAGCCCCATTGTTCCAAGTATCATTACCTTTTGTAATATGCAAATAAAAGTCAACCGTTTCTTTCCACACTTGAACCAGCTGCCGTGGGTGCAAGGCATCCACGATAAATACGTACATGGACGTGGAGCCGATAAGACTGAAACAGATCCATGCCCAGAAACGCAAATCCCTAAAGATAAATTGTTCTTGTAAACTGAGACAGTAAATTCCTACCGTGCACACGCCAACCACGCAAAAACTAATAATCGGGGGGAGGAACTTTAAAATGACATATTTCATTCGGACGCTCTCAACTTGAAGGACTTTCTTCCGATATACGAATTGATAAGGCAGTTGGTACTTTAATGGGTAGTGTTTCCCGTATAAATATTGAACCAGAAGTGCGGCCCCGACAGGGTTTCTTGCTTGAGAAAGAGAAACCATTTTGAATAGAATGTGGACGATCTACTCAAAAATAATTTTCGTTCAGTTTCAGAAATTTGGTACGTGCAGGAGAAAATCGTATCGTTTAATAAGATTTATATTAAGTTCACTTAATAAGTTCACTAAATAAGGTAATCACTAAATTACATAAGTATTGATTGCTTGATTGGATGAATATTGCTGGAAGAACGGGGAGCATTCGATTAGATTATCCTTTTCTTGGCTAAGTACTTTACTTAAATATGTACATATAAATAAGTCGGAGGACAACCCTAGGCCAACAGAATCACTAATTTTTAGACCCATCTGACTACATGACCACCCTATTGAAAGTGTGCGCCCATTTGCGCCAACCATACCCACCGAAAGATCTAAAAAACACAAAAAACACCCTGCTTTGCTTTACTAAAACCTTCACAAAAAATCCAAATTTCCAATAATGTGCTCGACTTTTTCCAAATTTTGATTTTTGTAAATGCACACCTCAGGTCACGCAATTTCAGAAAATACTTTAAAATTGTATTTGAAATATGTATGTACCCTTGATGTCGGAGATGATAAAAAAATTATCCGGGAACAAAAAATCCTAAAGTTGTAAAAATAATATACAAATTGAATTTTTCGTGAACTTTTTATGCCAGCACGGTGACACGGGATCCCTTTTCTAATGTGATGGGCGCAGATGGGGCCCATGGAGTCAAACGCTGCTGCACTTTAAAAGAGTCAATCTAATCCTACAAAATATCCTAAAACCCGTGATTCTGTCGGTGGAGAGTTGTCCTCCTAAGAGTTGCTTTAAATTAATATAATTTTGTGTTGTAAGAAACCACGTAGACAACGGGTTTAATATAAGTAGCTATAATAACTACATAATCGTAAGCTGACCATTTCTATACATATGTAGCCTTACTTTCAAGTCGGATAAGTAAATTTTTTATCAAATTTATTAACTGTCCAGCCTATAGCTTGTAATACGCTATGAAGAATCATGAGTTATGAAAGTCTAATATTGATCTATTTCTAACCCACGTAGCGACCGCTGTCTTTTTTTTCAAGCGCGAAAGGTCCTACTTATCGTTAATTCTACCCAGTCCAATGAATAAATTAGGTAGTAAGTTAAAATTCGTCCAAAATGCTGAATAAGATTTACCGTAACTCGTAGACATATTTATGACTCACTTTCCAAATGTCGAATTATCTATGAAAAATAAAGTTGGAAAGGTTATACAAAATTGTGAAATTGGATCTGAATTACATAAAATTATATATGTAACTCGGATATGATCCATCTAGAACTATGCTAATTTTATCTAAGTATTTTTAGATAAAATTAGCATAGATTATTTTTATACAAGAATTGTCGAAGAACTATTTATTAAGATAGATATATACAATGAAATAGTGTTTTTTTCATCTTCCAACGATTTTCAAGTTAGATACCTTAAAATTTGCGTAAAAATAAGTAGATCAAAAATCCGTAATAAAATTGGGGGCGCGCTTAGCCAGTTTTCGAGATAAATGCCAAAATGTGCGAATATTTTGCAAATTTTGAGTTTT